TGTTTTCCTGCTTCAATTTTGGATCAAAGGTTTTGTAAACAGAAACTTTTATTTTTAATAGTCATAGAATTGGCGAATATATCTTGAATACTATGTCATAAACAGGAACACCCACACAGACCGGCGCCCATACACACAGGCCGGCACCCATACACACAGGCCGGCGCCCATACACCCATGTGAACGACCGTTACAATGTTTATGGCACTGTCAGACCAGATGGACACAGCCTCAAAGAATAACATGTAAACCTATATGGGGTGCCATGAAGACAGCCCTGCCCATACAGTGTGCCAACCAATCAGTGTAACAGAACCCTACTCTGATTGCAGACTGAAAAGACTTGCTCGACAACAGGATAGGCAGTGTTAGAAAAAGACGGACATTTTGGCTGTTGAAGTGTGTGGGTGAAGTTCTTGTGTGTGTTTTCATAAAAGTGTTGCAGATCTCTTGAAACAATGTCCCAATCACCCCAGACGAACCCATTAATGTCATTCCTCCTTGGCTGGATATATCAGTTCCTATTAATTACAATCCTGTTGGTAGTAAGCAAATGTTAAACACCAATGTGGTGAGATGTGTCACTTGTTTTGGAAGCTCTGTAGTTGTTGTAGTCTAGTCTTCCCGAGTGTGACAAGTGGTATATGTGGGTACTCAACACAGGCCTCACCAGCGCCTTGGGCAGGTGAACTTGTATCTTCTCAGGCATCAGTTTAAAACGTTTTAATTTGGCTGCGGCGACTTTGGCTTTATTTAGTCTGTCCTTCACGTGGGAAATGATGCCCGTCCGAGAGATGATGAGGCCGAGCAGCCTGCCTTGTTTAGAGTACTCAATCTCTTCGTCGTCGATCATCAATGGCGCCGGCTTGAATTTGGCTATGGGTATGACCTCGAATTTCGTTTTGTTTGTTTTAATTTTCCATTTATTTTCATACTCCGAGATACCCTCTATTGCCCGAGCAGTGAGTCGCGCCATCCTTGCCGTGGACCTTCCTGGGCAGGTGACGATCTGTGTTACATCGTCGGCATACATGACGTACTCGCTGCCGGCGATTGGGGGTGGCAGGTCAGCCATGGAGAGCGTGCAAAGGGTTGGTGAGAGACAAGAGCCCCGAAGCACGCCGCTCGAGAATGAGAATTCTTCTCCACAATGTTCTTGCATCTTGATTTTGGCTCTGCGGTCTGTAATGAAGTTGCACAGCAGGCGCGTCAGGTTTTCGGGTAGCCCCAGTTGTATGATCTTATACTGCAGCCCCGCGTGGCAAACTTTGTTAAGCGCCTTGCTGACGTCCCTCAGTACTATGTTGCACTGCAGGCGGCCAGTCATGGCATTGGCGATCTGCTCGTAGGCGTGGGCTATGGTGGTGGATGTGCCTCGGTACTGGCGGAAGCCGAACTGGCAGGGATTATGCACGTCATCGTCCTCCAGATACTTCCGCAACCGCTTGTTTACTATTTTTTCGAAGATTTTGGAAGGTACACTCGGAAACCATAATATCTAGCCCACCTGGGTCGGTACTGGAGGTTAGAACAGTGTCCTTTCTGGACGGGGACCCACTCTAACTATCACGAGGCAACACATGCACGAACACACAGTCATAGTACGGCTGTATAGATGACATTATGTATAAATATTGTATATGGCATTTTATACTCTGCATTATCTTCATTATATATGACACGAAGAAAAAATACCATAGGTTGTAGTTACGAAAGTATGAATGGAAATAAACTTCCAAACCACCCAGTGACTCCACACAACGTGTGTGTGTGTGTGTGTGTGTGTGTGCCAGACCACGATGCTTCCCATCATTCGCATAACTATATGAAAAATCGTGTTTAATTTAAATACATATTTCAAAAACCTTAAATTAAATGTGGATCAGTCACTCTTCATTTGACACACTTGTAGTGTAATACTTTGACCATCCCACCTGGGCACATGGAGGCCCACGGTAACTCTCACGGGGCAACATATGCACGAACACACAAGTTATGATATGAACCCTTCCAGGCTTCACTATCATTATCATGTTATGTTCATCGTGCTCTGTATCTTGGTAACTAGTCATAGTATCAATACATGACAGTGTTAATAGTATAATATTGTAACTTTTACCCTACAGTTATTGTTGTAAATCATGGACAGGAAGGATACATAAATTGTAATATCAAGTGTATGGTTCTCTCAAAGCCACCCCAAGTCATACTAGTATTATAGAATTGGCGAATATGACTTTGTTTCTATCACACCTAAATGGCGATCTATAAGCAATTGTCTTGGTACACTTGTCTCTCTGATGGTGTTTATCTGTGTTGGTCCGTGACTAAATGGATTAAATATGTAAAATGTGTGGTCTGACTTTAGGTAACGTGTATGTATGTAAATATTAATATTTTTTTTTATCCTCTCAAGGGATTTTTCCAGGTATATAGGAGCGAACTCGTAACAATGGTTTTAAATTAGACAAATTTAGATTTAGGCGGGAAATAGGTAAACACTGGTTTAGAAACAGTAGTGGATGAATGGAACAAGTTACCAAATATCATCATTAACTCGAATACGCTGAATAGCTTCAAACATAGGTTGGATGCTTATATGAGCAATAGGGGTTGGGTGTAAACGGGACTGCCCAGTATGGGCCAATAGGCCCGCTGCAGTTTCCTCCATTATTATGTTCTTCTGTAAAGCCTTTAAAGTCAGGAAGGGGAGAAATGATCGATGACAGTGAAGAAATAAGCAAAGCATTGAACAGCTACTTTTTATCAGTTTTCACAGAAGAAATTCATGAGGAAATTCCAGAGGTGGTAACTGATATTTAGGGGAAATGAAGAGGAGAAATTAAAGAATATCACTATCAGAAAAGAAGAGGTTCTCAAGAGGATAAATAAATTAAAAAAGACAAAATCCCCAGGGCCGGATGAAATTTTCCCTCGAGTCTTGAAAGAGTGTAGGGAACAGATTAGCGGACCCTCTTAAATTTGTTTACAAAATCATCAGACATGGGAGTTGTGCCAGACTTGTGGAAACGGGCAAATGTAGTACCTATATTCAAAAAGGGAGACCGAGCATCAGCGTCAAATTACCGGTCGATCAGTTTGACGTCAGTAGTGGGGAAATTTCTTGAATCAATTAGAGCAAATAGCATCCGATCGCATTTGGAAAAAAGCAAATTAATCTACGACTCTCAACATGGGTTTACAAAGGGAAAATCTTGTCTAACAAATCTGCTGACGTTTTTTAGGAAAGTCTTCGAGGTAGTAGATAATGACGAAAATTACGATGTTATTTACTTAGACTTTAGCAAAGCATTTGACAGAGTACTGCATCAGAGGCTTCTGAGAAAAGTGAAGGCTCATGGTATCGAGGGGAAAGTTTTAAATTGGATAAAATCATGGCTCACCGATAGAATGCAGAGGGTCAGCGTAGATGGTGTTAAATCTGAGTGGGTCTGCGTAACCAGTGGGGTCCCCAGGGGTCAGTACTAGGCCCACTCTTGTTCATAATCGACTTAAGCGATCTAGATACTGGGATCAGCAGGGACATGAGCAAGTTTGCAGATGACACCAAAATAGGGCGGCAGATTAATTCAAGGCAGGATGCAAATGCACTACAGGAGGATTTAAATAGACTGCAGGAGTGGTCAGAAAAATGGCAAGTACAACAAGTACAGCGTACTTAATATTGGAAGAACAAACTGTCAATGTATACAGCCTTAGCAACATCAACCTAGAGAAGTCGACTTGTGAAAGAGACCTAGGGGTACTTGGAAGCCCGGACCGACGGCCTAGAAAAGAGTGCGTTAATGTTCGAATTAAGGCAAACAGAGTATTAGATTTTATATGTAGAAGTGTAAGTAATAAGAGTGCAGAGGTCTTATTGCAACTATATCTTGCGCTAGTCAGGCCGCACCTCGATTATGCGGTTCAGTTCTGGTGCCCTTATTATAGAATGGATATAAATTCACTGGAGTCGGTGCAGCGAAGAATGACGAAAATGATTCCGGGACTTAGAAACCTTCCATATCAAGATAGGATAAAGAACCTAAACTTGCATTCTCTAGAAAGACGAAGAGTGCGGGGAGATATGATAGAAGTATTTAAGTGGGTGAAAGGAATCAATAAAGGGGATGTAGATAAAATTCTTATAATATCCGAGCAGGATAAGATTCGTAGCAACGGATTTCAGTTGGATAAGTTTAGGTGGGAGATAGGAAGGAATTGGTTCACAAATAGGGTGGTGGACGAGTGGAACAAGCTTAGGAACTTTGTAGTAAGTGCTGGAAAGTTTTAAAAGGAGGCTAGATAGATTCATGAAGCGGGCTATTGCAGACTTCTTATTTTCTGATGTTCTTATGTGTCAGGCCACATGTGTCAGGAGGCCACATATGTAAGGCGGCTACATGTGTCAGAAGGCCGCATGTGTCAGGAAGCCACGTGTGTCAGGAGGTCATATGTATCAGAAGGCCGCATGTCTCAGGAGCCCACATGTGTCAGGAGGACACATGTGTCAGGAGTTTACACATGCTAGGAGGCCACATGTGTCAGGAGTTCACACATGCTAGGAGGCCACATGTGTCAGGAAGTAATCAAATGAACGGCGCTTATCACTTTCTTTATTTGCGGGATATTTATTAAACGAGTGTAGGACAAAAGCCCCTCAGGATAAATAATAATAAAAATTAATTGGTTAATTTTTTTTACAGTTTATGAACATTAACCTAACCGAACTTAACTTAACCTAACCTTCGGGAATTCTGTTAGTTATAAAGAAGTATTCAAGGAATGTTTATTTAATCTGCATTGATGAAGGTTTAGTCTACTGGGGTAATTACTCCCTGACATTCAGTGACCTCACTGGGCCCCAGGGTCACCTCAGTAAATACAGAATGAACATGAAGGTAAAATATGTCGTCTTTTTCCTTTTCTATTTATTTAATAATGTTCTATATCAAAATTGAAAATTATAATATTCTAATTATTTAAGTTATAATTTCATATTTAAATCTATATTTTTGTTTATATTTCTAATGAACCTCTCTTTAACATAAAAACAGGGGGCTTCTGTCCTATTTTGCAGTTTTACTGAGGGGCTCTTGTCCTAGGGGGCTTTTGTCCGGGCCCCTTATTAAACATTTGATATGGTGATTTGTATTAATGTCTTGCTCTCCGATTTGCTGCCCACAACCTAACCTAACCACAACAAAAAATACATCCAAATAAATATGTATCACGAGACATTGTTAATATAAAAGTTCGTCATATAATCCATAAATTGTGTTCAGTCATCAATATTCATAGTCTTCATATATGATTTCTTCCGAGCGGTGGACAGGCATCAGGCCGAGCTCCTTCAGGATCTGAAACAACAGACAACATGTACATAAGAAAATAAGGAGTCTGCAATAGGCCGGTTGGCCTGTGCATGGCAGCTCCTGTCGAGAGTTACTACCACTCTCTATCATCCATGAATCTATCTAGCCTCTTTGAAACTTTCCAGAGTTCCCGCACTTACTACAAAGTTGCTAAGCTTGTTCCACTCGTCCACCACCCTATTTGTAAACCAGTTCCTTCCTATCTAGAACAAATAACTAGAACAAATGGCTTTAAATTAGATAAATTCCGATTCAGAAAGGATATAGGCAAGCACTGGTTTGGTAATAGAGTTGTAAATATGTGGAATAGGCTACCAAGTGCTATAGTAGGATCGGGGACGCTAGGGAGCTTCAAGACGAAGTTGGATAGGCACATGGAAGTGCTGGGATGGGTGTGAAAGGGATCTGCCCTGTATGGGCCAGTCGGCCTCCTGCAGTATCCCACTTTCTTATGTTCTTATGTAAACCTAAACTTATCCAACTTGAATCCGTTGTTCCGAGTCCTATCCTGCTCGGATATTATAAGAACTTTATCTATATTAACTTTATTGATTCCTTTCACCCACTTAAATACTTCTATCATATCTCCCCGCACTCTTCGTCTTTCTAGGGAATGCAAGTTTAGTTTCTTTAACCTATCCTGATATGGAAGGTTACTAAGTCCCGGAATTATTTTCGTCATTCTTCGCTGCACCGACTCTAGTGAATTGATATCCATTCTATAATAAGGGCACCAGAACTGAACCGCATAATCGAGGTGCGGCCTGACTAGCGCAAGATATAGTTGCAATAAGACCTCTGCACTCTTATTACTTACGCTTCTAGATATAAAAGCCAATACTCTGTTTGCCTTATTTCGAACATTAACGCACTGTTTTCTAGGCCGTAGGTCCGGGCTTACAAGTACCCCTAGGTCTCTTTCACAAGTCGACTTCTCTAGGTTGATGTTGTTAAGGCTGTAGTGCCGCCTCGCCTGGTGGTGTACGGTGAAGTGATGGCAGGGAATGGATCCGCTTACTGGTTTGGTTCTTAGATTTAGTGCATTAAATTATGAGCTACAATATGAAGCTTTAAAACCGTTTGTTTCTCTGGAATTAAACCTTAACTAAGCTCTCGGTGTTACATCAACGAGTTTGTTTGTAATATATTACCTTATTTACGGGAAATTAGGATCAGATCTATCAGTATTGGTCCTGGCAGACGACCATCAACCATAGCCTCGTGGTGATGGTCGCGGCTCATGTGGTAAGCCTGGACTCTAAAGAGGATTTGTTGCTGCATCACTTACCTGCTGTTCTCTGGCAGCGATCACCTGCTGCAGCCCCGGATTGATTGACGGGTATATTTGCGTCTTAGATGCTCCTGTGATGGAAGTTCCTTGAGGATAAGCCGCCCTGGGTGGCACAGAGAAGAAAGAAGCTTGGGAGGCTTCGTGCTGGGCGGGATAACCCTTTCTCAGGCGCTTGTGTGCGCTTGGCCCGACCGCTGCAGCGTGGGCCATGACGTGGGCGACGTAGTGCTGCTCGTGTGTCCGGTGCAGCAGGTGAGCCATCGGACCTGTGTGGGTATGTCGTGACGGAATAGAGAGAACAATGAATATTTGTATATATTATCTACACTCATCGTTCAGGATAGTGTAGCGTGGCGTGGGCCAGCAGGCAAAGAAAACTATCAAAGGAGGAAAGTCTAGGCGGTAGTGGAGTAAAAGAAGTCCAGAAGATAACAGGAAACTGCTATTGCACATATACTGTATGTAAACATCTATACACACCCGCTTATACCCTCATATTTAATACTCAGAAAACAGAGAATAAGAGCATACATTACACACCTGCAGCCCAAATGGCGACATCCTCCCCGCCATGTGTCTCAGACTTCCTGGGCACCGCCGCCAAGCTCTTGTAGTCAAGGTCCCTCGTGTCATGATCATTAGGGTCTAGCCGAGTTACCTGGAACACATACCGACATTAGCATATAAAACCTCAACAGGGTACTACTATATCCAGGTAGCGGAAGACATTAGTTAGTCCAGCCTTCATTATGAGGTGCAATACAATCTTATGTCAGTATTCAACAAGAAGGTCTGGTGATAACATCTTACGGTCTGGTTTTTGATGGAGTAGTTGAAGCCCGGGCCGCTGGTGAACAAGAGGGTCGTGTAATTAAGGCCATCTTCCTTTGAGGGATACCCCGTCACTCCTGCACACAAAGAGTCAAACATAATCAAACACCGCTAAAAAGAGAAAAAAATAAAAAAAAATAAAAAAAAATCCAATACAATCAAGAACAACAATTTAGCCAAGACTTCCACTTTTCTATTTGTGTTCACTTGCCCGAGTTTCTTTTGTCTATTTACTTTACCGACTCTCAGCTCCAGAGTCTTTTGTCAAGGTGGGAGTCGAGCCACCCAAAACTCACCTAGAATATCGTTGCCACGGTCCGGATAGCCATTGATGGTGAGGACGTGGGAGTGATCTGCCGTGACCAACACCAGTGTGTCCTCAAGGTTAACTTCCTGCAACATCAGGATGATTGAGCTTAATGAACACTGACCCAAGAATTTAATTGTCTTCTGCTGTAAACTGGACAAAAAGACGACGCATTGAGGAGAAGATAGACGAAGAAGAAAGAGTCCTCAAACAAGAAGCAAAGAAACGGACCATGACCAAAGACTAAGACCTACCTCCAGGGCAGCAGCCACGGCATCGTCCATGGCGAGTATCTCCTCCAGGAACCGGTAAGGAGAGTTCCCGTGAAGTCCATGATCTATACGCCCACCCTCGACCTGTCGCATGTAGGTTAGGTTAGGTTAGGTCCTATTATGTATTGGGGCCAATTTGGAAACTTCGCTTGCTATCCGTTGGTCCCACTAGCAGTTGCACAAGTTATCAGTTAGTGTAAAATATAAATTTCAGTGTAATTAATCAAAGTCGTAACTTGAACCACTGAAATGATCTTTTAATAAAGTATTTCAAACCAACATTTACACAGTTTTATCAACAATTGAACATACCCCTGCAGGTAAAAAGCGAGGATAAACCATATTCTTACCAATAGGAAGAAACCTTCAGGATTCTTCAGTAGATCGATAGCCTTCAGAGTCATCTCCTTCAGCGTGGGGACTGAGGTATTACTCTCTCTCTCCACCATGAATGGCAGGTGAGAATCTGAGAACAAACCTGAGAGACAACGCAGATATTAGTGCTAATGCTGACACTACAACCCACTACTTCAACGCTTCCAACTGTTTCGTGTGTTTGAGGGGGGGGGCGGTTACAGTTGCTTGGACCAATCAGAAGTGGACGGAGATTAATCAATGGGCCTTATAAATCCCTCTCTGAAGGTTTAATTGTTGACGACTAGTTGTTCTAACCTTAGAGCTTAAAACAACATTGAAGTAAATGAGGAACAAGAGTTGGTTGTAAGACGTTCACATACCCAGGAAGAAATCAGTTTTTTCGACTTCCCTCATCTCCTCGGCAGTAGTGGCGTAAGTGGCAGTGTGTCCTCGATGGTATTTGTCTTTCAGCCATTCCTGGGTGAGGTCTCGACCGTCCTGGCGAGTGCAGATTTTGTTGTCAGGGTTGGGGTCGAGACCTGCCCCAAGTGTGCGCCTTCCTCCTCCCATGATCACCTGTACACACACCAACACCCTCACGTTATTATGATGCTGTTATTACTCCCTCGAATTATTCGCATCAATTGATCGTGGTTTTCGATTTCTTAAAAGTATTGCATTATAACAGTGATCTCTATTGTAATGTTTGTTTATCAGACCACAGCTTACAGCCCAGAGATATACAACACAACAGTAAGTAGATGCCTACATGGTAACCCACTTAGGTTGACACACCTTACAGTGAGATGAAGACCTGACCCAGGAAAGGTCACGGCCTCAAGGTACCTGACTTAACCCGGCGTTATGACCGTGTTAAATAAACTCACCTGACCAAGACACACCCGGGTGGTAATAGTTAGGAAGCATTACCGACCACACACCTGGGCAAACAAAGGATCTAAATAAGAACATAAGAACATAAGAAAGTGGGATACTGCAGGAGGCCGACTGGCCCATACAGGGCAGATCCCTTTCACACCCATCCCAGCACTTCCATGTGCCTATCCAACTTCGTCTTGAAGCTCCCTAGCGTCCCCGATCCTACTATAGCACTCGGTAGCCTTTTCACATATCCACAACTCTATTACCAAACCAGTGCTTGCCTATATCCTTTCTGAATCGGAATTTATCTAATTTAAATAAACTGCAGGAGTGGTCTGAAAAATGGCAAATGAAATTCAACACCAGCAAGTGCAGCGTACTTAATATTGGAAGAACAAATACTGTCAATGCATACAGCCTTAACAACATCAAGCTAGAGAAGTCGACTTGTGAAAGAGACCTAGGGGTACTTGTAAGCCCGGACCTACGGCCTAGAAAACAGTGCGTTAATGTTCGAAATAAGGCAAACAGAGTATCGGCTTTTATATCTAGAAGTGTAAGTGATAAGAGTGCAGAGGTCTTATTGCAACTATATCTTGCGCTAGTCAGGCCGCACCTCGATTATGCGGTTCAGTTCTGGTGCCCTTATTATAGAATGGATATCAATTCACCAGAGTCGGTGCAGCGAAGAATGACGAAAATGATTCCGGGACTTAGAAACCTTCCATATCAGGATAGGTTAAAGAAACTAAACTTGCATTCCCTAGAAAGACGAAGAGTGCGGGGAGATATGATAGAAGTATTCAAGTGGGTGAAATAAATCAATAAAGGCGATATAGATAAAGTTCTTATAATATCCGAGCAGGATAGGACTCGGAACAACGGATTCAAGTTGGATAAGTTTAGGTTTAGGAGGGAGATAGGAAGGAACTGGTTTACAAATAGGGTGGTGGACGAGTGGAACAAGCTTAGCAACCTTGTAGTAAGTGCTGGAACGCTGGAAAGTTTCAAAGAGGCTGGATAGATTCATGGATGATAGAGAGTGGTAGTAACTCTCGACAGGAGCTGCCATGCACAAGCCAACCGGCCTATTGCAGACTCCTTATTTTCTTATGTTCATTGACTTGGGGTTCTCACCCCCGGCGACATGACCGTGTTACTCAAGAATCTCTCCTTCAGCCAGTATACTTGTCACCTGGCCAGACACACCCAGATTAGTGACGATATCTTCCGGCTCGTGACCGCCAATATAAGAGCATGCAGCTCCTTCCACGGAGAGTAAGCAGCACACACTCTCTAACCCTCTCTCACCATGAACGGTTACGAGTTTGATAACGTGGCGCGGATACGTCCGGATACGCCGACCTGCCTCAAGAAATTAAACCTCCTAGTTCTCAAGAAGTTCTTTGAAACTAATGAGATCATGAGGGTCACCAAGGTGGAACGACTGAAGCTCCATGGTGACATCAAGATCACCTTCGCCGAGAAGGGTATGCCCGTACAGCCGAATAATAAATAGCTGTACTTGTAGGTGGTGTTTAGAAGGTTTCCCCTAAAAACATAGTAACTTAAATAATTAACCGGCCACGCTCCCAAACTTTCCTCACTTTACATCCTACAACTATAAATTCTTCCTATATCTTCTGTACGAGTTTTCAATCATTATACTATGAGGCAGTCAGGTGGAGGAGGCAAGCGACATAGGTGGTTTGAGATGTAATTGATATTTTAAAATCCAAACTTCCCTCATCTTTAAATGCGTTTTCTAACTTCTCTATGTATACCAGTGACTAAGAACAACCAACGAATAACAATAACCTTAATGTTCTTGCCGGGATTTTCAGTGATAAGTTGATCGGCAATATCCTTACAGCCGGCACCCTCCTCCTTCAGGTTGCCGTCACATTCCCAGATACGGTTGGCGGTGTGGGCGTAGAGTGCAGCTGGAGTAGCATGAGTGATTCTCGTTGTGGTCACCAAGCCTGTAGGAGAGAAGTAACGTCATCGGCTGAAACGGTGGACAATTATATACATTTGCTGAAGGACGTGTAGGGTGTTCAGAGTTGTGGTACTGTACTGTGAGAATAATAACATACAGTTGCATAATTGGGAAATGGGTCTCATGAATGACAAATAATATACAAGGAACAATTATAATATATAATAACTAGGTGGAGAAAAAGACATACTACAGGGCATTTCAACATAGTGACAGTGCAAAAAGGTAAAATTGAAGGAGAGTGAATACACACTATGTGTGTGTGTGTGTGTGTGTGTTCGTAGTGTGTTTTTTTTATTCTTAAATAAAGCATCAAGTCAAATTTGACCCCCTTAAACTTAATAAAGCTAATAATAAAAAAGTGTGTTGAGGGGAGCTATACCACACCTACATTTACCTGAGGAAGTATAGCTAAGGTCTGCACTAGTGTGGCTTATCACAACTGACCTGTATCCATGCCTTGCTCCTGCGCCCACTGCAGGATAGAGGAGAGGTGGTGGGCGGTGTTGAGACTGGCGTTGCAGTCCTTATACTTCACCGCAGAATCGACCCCTAAAGTGTAGTAGTTGCTCTTAACGCCGCATAAGAAGGCGGTGGCGGTAGCAGCGCTGTCTGGCACCTGTTTGTCCACGTTATAAGTCTGCACACAAACACAAGAGATGAGAAGGTTTATCGTGTTGTTAAGGAGTGTTTGTGTTAAGTGGGACCATGGGAGTTTATGATATAATGTAATGAGGTACTTGGTGCCCAGAGGTCGATAAGCAACCTTTATAATATTTAGAACCATATTTTTCCTCGTAGGAATCTGATACAACGTTACTCGACTGACCTTAAGAAGAGCTGCGTTAGGGAACCTCTCCCAGGTGAGGTAACCTTCTTCGCCGTTCATCCCCTTCTTCTGGCCCTTGTATATCCTGCCGGCAGTGTTGGCAGTAATGCCCATACCGTCGCCCAGGAACAGGATGACGTTCTTGGCTATATTGACGTTGTCGCGGACGTTAAGGGCGGCCTCCAGCTCGTTCTGGGCCAAGTCCCACCAGTGATGGCGGTCTGTGGAAACACAGCAAGAGGAGAATGCATTGTGGTTTATGGGTCTTATGGCTGCAAAATTTAAAATACGCACGCACGCACGCACGCGCACACACACACACAAACCTTGAGACTCTAGTTCGGGTTGCTGTGCGGCCACTAGCAGGAGGAGGTTAACAGCTACCCACACCAGTGCTGCTGACTTCTGCGGTTGCTGCTGGCCCATCATCACAACACTCCTGCAACACAACATCACTATAACATCACAGAAAACACAAACAATGCTAACTAGTGTCGACATACATGGTTGGTAGTGTATAGGTAGCGGGATGCTTTACGATTATAAGAACATAAGGAGTCTGCAGTAGGCCGGTTGGCCTGTGCATGGCAACTCCTGTCGAGAGTTACTACCACTGTCATCCATGAATCGATCTAGCCTCCTTTTAAACCTTTCCAGCGTTCCAGCACTTACTACGAAGTTGCTAAGCTTGTTCCACTCATCCACCACTATTTGTGAACCAGTTCCTTCCTATCTCCATCCTAAACTTATCCAACTTAAATCCGTTGTTACGAGTCCTATCCTGCTCGGATATTAAAAGAACTTTATCTATATCGCCTTTATTGATTTATTTCACCCACTTAAATACTTCCATCATATCTCCCCGCACTCTCCGTCTTTCTAGGGAATGCAAGTTTAGTTTCTTTAACCTATCTTGATATGGAAGGTTTCTAAGTCCCTGAATCATTTTCGTCATTCTTCGCTGCACCGACTCCAGTGAATTGACATCCGTTCTATAATAAGGGCACCAGAACTGAACCGCATAATCGAGGTGCGGCCTGACTAGCGCAAGATATAGTTGCAATAAGACCTCTGCACTCTTATCACTTACACTTCTAGATATAAAACTAAATACTCTGTTTAACTTATTTCGAACATTAACGCACTTTTTTTCTAGGCCGTAGGTCCGGACTTACAAGTACCCCTATGTCTCTTTCGCAAGTCGACTTCTCTAAGTTGATGTTGTTAAGGCTGTATACATTGACAGTATTTGTTCTAACAATATTAAGTAAGCTGTACTTGCTGGTGTTGAATTTCATTTGCCATTTTTCTGACCACTCCTGCAGTTTATTTAAATCTTATATGCGGTTATGCGTATGTGGAAATTAGGCGTATGTTTAATTGACTATAATTTGAACCGATATGAACTGTAAATACTATTAACAAACTCCATAAAATGTAGAGATGTGTGTTAGGTGCCTCTAAGTAAACAAAGATTCTGGACTCGGTGTAATGACAAGTTCCAAAAAGTAACTTGGATAGTTAACTGACAGTACTTACATACACACAAAATACACGTCAACTTCTATTAAAAAAATATTCACCTTCTTAGACCGGAGTAGACTTTGTGATGGTGGTATTGACGATGGTGGTGGATGTGGTCGTGATGGTAGTAGTGGTCAGCTGTTGGTATAGTGTTGACACGGCGAGGAACTACTGTAGACTAGTAGCTCCCAGCAGGTGATGAGCTTTATAGCAGGGATGAGGTCGTGGGGTAGAAGGGTGGTGATATGGTCACTCAGGGTAAATCATCCCCCTCCCTACCTACACCACCAACAGAATGTCAACACTCAGGTTCACGTTATAGATGCAGCGAGGGACAAGGACGCTCCCTCCCTCCCTCCCTCTGGTGCTATTAGAGCTTTCTCTTTATGCAGCGGATGACCCAGTGTCATCGTTCACCACCATCACTACTACCATAGCCACTACCACCACCAACCACTACCACCACCACCACCAGCTACCACCACCATCACCACTACTAAAAGTAACGAGGATGGCCGGCCCGAGGGCTACCTAGGAGTGAATTTGTTTAAGGTGTAGAAGCTGTCGCCAACACAACAACCACACCCTGAGTTAACGAGCTGCATGACCCAGTGTCAAGGAATAGTCCGAGAAGATCGGACAGCTCGCCAACTGCACTGGCTAACCATTACCCCGGAACACGATCCGCAAATCGACAAACATCCAGGTCCTCAATTACTGCTGGGTAGACAGAGGCAAATGGCGTAAAGAAACTTGCCCATAGTTTCATTCTGCCCGGGGATCGAACAAGGGTCCGCTCGCTTGCTCATCATTACACCACTACCACCACCATCCAACTGTTACCAACCTGCCAAATGTAAAAATGTGCTTTGCATTTAGTTAACCCCGTATGGTATTCCATTATTACCGCGTGACTTACATCCAGCTTAGTAGGTTTCCACACCATTGCCCCTCTATTAAAACAAACGTAAATATGACCATCATTCTGGGTGTGGGGGGAGAGGAGGGGGCGAAGCACTATAGGGTGAGAAGTCGCTGTGGGGGTGAGGAGAGGGGCCAAGTCGCGAATCGCTGGGAGGTGAGGAGAGGGCCAAGTCGCTGTGGGGGGTGAGGAGAGGGCCAAGTCGCTGTGGGGGTGAGGAGAGGGCCAATGGGGGTGAGGAGGGCCAAGTCGCTGTGGGGGGTGAGGAGAGGGGTGTGGGGGGGTGAGGAGAGGGCCAAGTCGCTGTGGGGGTGAGGAGAGGGCCAAGTCGCTGTGGGGGGGTGAGGAGAGGGCCAAGTCGCTGGGGGGTGCCAAGTCGCTGTGCCAAGTCGCTGTGGGGGGTGAGAGAGGGCCAAGTCGCTGTGGGGTGAGGAGAGGGCCAAGCCGCTGTGGGGGAGGAGAGGGCCAAGTCGCTGTGGAGGGGGGTGAGAGAGGGCCAAGCGCTGTGGAGGGGGTGTGAGGAGAGGCCAAGTCGCTGTGGAGGGGGTGAGGAGAGGGCCCGCTGAGGGGGGTGAGGAGAGGGCCCTGGGAGGGGGGTGAGGAGAGGGCCAAGTCGCTGTGGAGGGGGTGAGGAGAGGGCCAAGTCGCTGTGGAGGGGGTGAGGGCCTCGCTGTGGAGGGGGGTGAGGAGAGGCCAAGTCGCTGTGGAGGGGGGGTGAGGAGAGGCGCAGAGGGCGCAGGGGTGAGAGGAGGGGGTCAAGTCTGTCGCTGTGGAGGGGGTGAGAGAGGGCCCCAGTCGCTGTGGAGGGGGGTGAGGAGAGGGCCAAGTCGCTGTGGAGGGGGGTGAGGAGAGGGGCCAAGTCGCTGTCGCTGTGGAGGGTGAGAGAGGGCCAAGTCGCTGTGGAGGGGGGTGAGGAGAGGGCCAAGTCGCTGTGTCGCTGTGGAGGGGGGGTGAGGAGAGGGCCAAGTCGCTGTGGAGGGGGGGGTGAGGAGAGGCCAAGTCGCTGTGGAGGGGGGGTGAGGAGAGGGCCAAGTCGCTGTGGAGGGGGGTGAGGAGAGGGCCAAGTCGCTGTGGGGGGTGAGGAGAGGGCCAAGTCGCTGTGGGGGGTGAGGAGGCTGGGCTGGTTTATTCCCCATTCCTTAGTCCATCCAGTTTACAAGTTGGAGAAGTTAAAAGCGATCGAGTTTACAGTACAATGACGGCCATGTTGTTCATTTTGAGTGTGCTGCGGCGGCTATTTTGTTTCTCTCGAGTTTGTAGCGGCGGCCATGTTGTTCATTTTGAGTTTGCAGTGGCAGCCATGTTGTTCTCCTCGAGTTTGCAGCGGCGGCCATGTTGTTCCCTCGTGTACATAAGGTACAGTATCCTCACGGGGCGGTAGTTATTACCCGACAAACTTTCGCTCTTTCAAATAGGTCATAACGGCTCAGCGGCACCACCACCCACCGTTACCCCCCGCGAGGTGTACATAGGAAAGCGTTTGTTTAGTAATGCACCACAATGACCCACCTACCTGTTGTTGATCATTTTTCACCTCATTTCCGCCTACAGGAGGATGCAGCTATAGTTTCTCAGTGACAGTGTGTCGAGCGATCATCACGGGGCGGGGGGCGTGGATGGCGAGGCACTGGTGGGGGGGAAACTCAGTGTTGGGTGAATGTTTGACACTGACCTCTGACATAGTTGTGTGTTTTAGTAGCTATTTATGCTGTATATACTCGTATATAAAAAGTAAAAAAAGTGAGGGAAGGGGAGATGATGTGGCCTTTGCGTATGTAATGGGAGTGGGTCAGTGTGTGGACAAAGACAGGAGACCGGGTTGGGGACATAGCTAATGAAACCGGATTATATTTTTCCCCATAAAAAAATGCCGGGTGATAAAAACATAAAATTTCCTCCTTATATGTTTGCGTCATATTTCGTCCTTAGTGTAGAAGTCGTCCCTAGACCCACGAGAAACTAACCAACACGTAAGTTATAGCTTGAGGACTCTGCTGCATCCTGCTTGACTTTGGGAGTTGACTGTATCCTCACCTGACGCATTTGTACCGGGCCTGTTAGGCGACTTTTTTGGGACAGGACGGAAATAGATTGATGGTTCAAGTCTTTTGTCAACTCTCTTTATATTGCATCATGACAGGGACTATATAGGTTCTTTGTCTTTTATAGAGTCCGTGATCTGATTGGAAGACGGTCAATAATCCAAAGAGGTAAAGTATCCTCAAGCAAGACAAATATTATATCCAATTTTACCTGGCAGCCGTTTGTCGTAAAGCGTTTAGTTGAGGGAAGAATCCATATGAATTTTTGTTAACTAAATTGTACTTGCTCGGAATAGTAATAATTAATGATGATGATGATGATGATGATGATAACAGACTAAAGGAAGAGCTATATCAGGGTTTCAGTTTAACCTTCAAACTATCACAGGTAATCATTCCGGTCCAACTTTCACTCTACGAGTACTTGCTAAATGTCAGGACTACTGGAGTGTAAAAACAACAAGTGTACAACCTGCATATGACCTGTCCTTCAAATAATAAAAATAATAATAACAACTCGTACTTCTTTTTCTTGTTACGTTTATACTGCCACAAACTGGTTATAAACATCATTCAGTGAAACAATACAGAAATTTTAGATTTAGTCAGACTTTACTATCAAAAGAATAAACAAAACAGCAATACAGCACTACAAATTATCTTAGTTCTGATTGGTTGATTTTTCTGTCCCTCAGCAACTTGATTGGCCGAGGTCGTGGCTAAACTTATACAGATGTAAACAAGTCTCTGGTCTCATCTCAGGGGGAAATGGGAAAATCCCCAAGGCGAGCCACAGATAGGCCAGACTCGACCCTCTCTACACACCCGTCCCTCTCGACACACCCGTCCCACTCGACACACCCGTCCCTCTCGACACACCCGTCCCTCTCGACACACCCGTCCCTCTCGACACACCCGTCCCTCTCGACACACCCGTCCCTCTCGACACACCCGTCCCTCTCGACACACCTGACCAGTTTTTACATGTAAATATGAAGAAATTAAATATATAACTCATACTACATATAAATCCGAGACTGAATCGTATATTTCAATGTTATTCGCTAAGTTTCTCAGTCGGTCGTTTATCCTCCAGTGAGGGTGAGACTCGCTGAGGGGTGTCGGCTTAACTGACTCGTTTCCTGCTAATTGTCTGCTATGATATGGTGCAGTGGGGGAGGGGGGGGGTTAGGTTAATATTAAGTTAGGTTAGGTTAGGTTAAGGTAGCTTAGGTTAATATTATGTTAGGTTCAGTTAGGGTAGTATTAGGTTATTTAATCATCCCGTGAAATAAATTGGGTGTGCCTATTCTTCAGGTGATCCACAGAGTTAACGTTAAGAAAGAATGATTGATGTGGTTTGTCGGGGAAAAAAATATAAATTTCCTCTTTCAAAATATAGATTACTCTCCTGTTTCCCACCATTGTCTCGAGTTGTCCACATTACGTCATCTTACGGTAAGAAACCACATATTTTTACATTGAGTTATTACTGTACTGCTGCCGAGTCATCTGAGGCAAGTTATGACTGACTCTCTCTCTCTCTCTCTCTCTCTCTCTCTCTCTCGTGATAGCGGCAGGTGGCACTAGCTCCGCCTATCAGCTGGGAGATGAGCGCCGTGTAAACAATGGCATTTCTACCCACACCCTGCAAAATACAGTGTACTTAGCAAATGCTGCAGCTTCTGAGAACCGGGGGGGGGAGGGTTACTACTAACAGCAGAGACGTTACCGAGAACAAATTCTGGCTTGAATGTCATGTGCACTAATACCGACACGTTCCTTGACAAGAGAGGAGTTTGAAACATCACTGAAGGTGCACCAACCCGATATTGTAGGAGTTGTAGAACTGTTGTACAAGTACAGGAGAATCGACCCAGATGAATGCGAGTTCAGTGTTGCTGGATATGACTCATTTACGAACCTTAATCAAGAAACTTGCAAGAAGGGTGTGGTTATCTGTGCTAGGAAAGACCTTAGAGCCAGCCAGGCGAGGGTACAGGGAGAGGATGTTTTTGGAGAGTCCAAGTGGTGTAAAATTAATTAAGGGGAGGGGACTTACTTATTGTCGGGTGTATCTACAGATCCCCAAACTGTGGCCCACTAAATCAAAGGAACTCAAGAGCCTTAATAAACAATGCAGCAATGTTCAACCCTAGCCACCTCATTATGGGGGGACTTTAACTATGGCGACATCGACTGGAGAAACGAGTTCACCCCAAATGACTTGAATAACCTTACTTGCTACTCTTTGTATAAACTCTATTGAGATAATTTTCTGTTCCAACATGTTAGAGACCCGACACATTACAGAGGGGA